GTCTGGACGAAATCACTTCCGCCCACCCCGACATGCGCGTGTTGTTCGAGTGCCCGTGGGGCGGGAGTGTGTGGGAGGATGTGGGGGAGGACGGATGCACAGTGGACACGTCTTTACAATCATACGCAGACGACTCCAGCAAAACATACCAGGTGTCAGATGCTTTTGACCTCCGTAAGAAATCGCATGGGTATGCCAGGACGTGCACGCGTGTGTTCGCAACACGGAATATGCAACACAATCCCGGGAAGTCTGAATCGTTGGTCAAGTTCTGTGGTGCCAGGGCAGACGAGTACACGAGAGCGGTCTACCAGGAACCATCTATGCTGCCAGGGACTGTCTTGCATGTTGCGCGGTACTTGGGACCACACTTGTCTGCTGGATCTTCCGTGGCTTTCGAACGAGGCAAACGACTCGAGGCGATCCGACGGGGCTATGGGGCATTGGGTAAGTTTTGGGTACGATCGCCACGCCGACTCTGGAGCAAAACAGTGTTCCAATGCATGGTGTCTGGTGCTGGGCTTAGTGGCCTGGACGCGCTTGTTCTCTCCAGTGCAGACACACTGGCGCTGGACAGAGAACTCATCACTCTTGCCCGGAAGGTCATACGAGGAGCCTGCGACAAAATCCAACAAGACGACGGGTCTACAAAATACAGGGCCTGGACAAACGACAGGGTGTGTCGGGAGTTGGGCCTCATACCGCTTGCAGAGTCTCTCCGACAGAGGCGCCTCAAGATGTGGCAGCGTGTTGTCGGGCACCCCAGCGAATACAAATGCCTCATTGCTGCGTTCTTTGGAGATTTGCCCGGAGACGTCAAACCCACCCTCGATAGTGATGGCAAGATGCTCGCGACCGCGCACAGATGGGCCTTGCAGTGGGCTCGTGATATCCAGGCCCTTGCGTTCGCTTCAGGAAGCCATCGCCTTTCGGAGTGTGCCGACCGACCTTTGCAATTATTTCAGTCTCCCGTGTGCCGTGCAGAATTTCTACAACAGGACGTGGGAATATTGTCATCGGATGTGGTGTATTTTGCAGGTGCACCTCGCTTCTCCTCCACCCCGGCTCCACCATTGCAGCAGCAGCAGCATTCCCCTCAGGAGCAGGAGTACAAACCAGCGGAGCAGGGGGCCGATGGAGGACCAGTTTTGGGGGAGGACGGGGAGGAAGAATGGGAGTGCCGACTTACGTGTGACGACGGTGCCGTGTGTCGCCGCCGCTTCCGGAGTAAACTGGCGATGCGGATGCATCAGATACACAGTCCGCTTGGGGGAGAGCACGGCTACGGTACACTTGCTGCGTCGCTGGCCCGCGTCAATCAATGTTGTGCGTGCCGGGCCATCCATTCATCCGTCAACATTACGAGACATCATCTGCGAAGGAGCTTGCAACGAGGATTCTGCGACGTTCGATGGGAGAGAGGGAGTGCAATCTGTCATGAGATCATTGCTCCTCCTCCTTACTCTTGCCGTATCTGCGACGTTGAGTTCGAGTCTGCCACTCCGCTGCTGTGGCATCTGGCTTCTCACTTACCGGACACATTTCAGATCGACTTGGGCGCAGTCCCCGAAGAGTAGCATGGCTGACGCGGCATGGGCGTCCTTCTTGGGCGGAGGCGCCGCCGAACCCCCGCGGAAGAGGCGGGGCGGCGGCAGCGCCGAAGACGGGGACAAGATCAAGGAGCTCTTGTCCATCCTCGTGAAGCTGTGCCTCCAGACGAAGCAAGAGGTACGCATGCTCATGGCAGTCGTGTTCATCTGCTTCCGGGTTGCAACGGACAGCACGGCAGCGCAGGGGGTCCGGAAGGCGTACAAGATCCACGCCGACCGCACGAAGGGCAAGAGTGGCCATGACGAGGGCGGCCCAGACCCATGGGCATTCATAGTGTTGCTGATTGAGGCCAGCACGTCAGAGCAAATTGAAGAAGGAGACCTTGCGAAGATCCGGACTTTCCTCGCGGCTCACCCGCCGCCCAGTGACCCCAGAGGCAGGCCGGCAAGCGACGAGCTCCAGGAGGCCGTCCCATGTTGCAAGTTGCAGAAGATGTACAATTCCAACCAGGTGAAGCTCTTCATTCGTGTGCACCCGAAATACGTTGAGCTAGAGAATATCGTCCTCTCTCCTCCCTCCTCTACCCTCTCTCCTCTCTCCTCTCTCCTCTCGCCTCACTCCTCTCTCCTCTCTCCTCTCTCCTCTCTCCTCTCTCCTCTCTCTTCTCTCCTCTCTCCTCTCTCCTGTCTCCTCTCTCCTCTCTGCTCCATCCTCCCTCCTCCTCCTCCTCCTTCTCCTCCTCCTCCTCCTCCTCCTCCTCCTCCACCTCCTCCTCCTCCTCCTCCTCCTCGTCTCCCTCTCTCCTCTCCTCCTCTCCTCCTCCCTAGTCCCTCCTCCTCCTCTTCCTCCTCCCCCTCTCTCCTCTATCCTCTATCCTCTCTCCTCCCCCCGCCTCCTCCTCCACCTCTCCTCCCTCCTCCTCCTCCTCCTCACCCTCCTCCTCCTCCTCCTCCTCCTCCTCCTCCTCCTCCTTCCTGCCTCTGTCCTCTTCCTCTCTCCCTCTCTTCCTCTCTCCTCTCTCCTCCTCTCTCTCTCCTCCTCCTCCTCCTCCTCCTCCACCTCCTCCTCCTCCTCCTCCTCCTCTTCCTCCTCCTCCCTCCTCTTCTTCCTCTTCTTCTTATTATATTCTCTCCCTCCTCCTCCTCCTCCTCCTCCTCATCCTCCGTCTCCTCCGTCCTCTCCCTCCTCCTCCTCCTCCTCCTCCTCCTCCTCCTCCTCCTCCTCCTCTTCTCTCTCTCTCTCTTTCTCTCTCCCTCTCTCCTCTCTCCTCTCTCCTCTCCTCCTCCTCCTCCTCCCTCTTCCTCCTCCCCTCCTCCTCCTCCTCCCTCTCCCCTCCCCCTCCTCCTCTCCTCCTCTCCTCTCTCTCTCTCTCCTCTCTCTCTCTCCTCTCCTCTCTCCTCCTCCTCCTCCTTTCCTCCTCCTCCTCCTCCTCCGCCTCCTCCTCCTCCTCCTCCTCCTCCTTCTCCTCCTCCTCCCCCTCCTCCTCTTCCTCCTCCTCCTCCTCCGTCTCCTCCGTCTCCTCCTCCTCCTCCTCCTCCTCCTCCTCCTCCTCCTCCTCCTCCTCCCTCCTCCCTTCCTCCTCCTCCTCCTCCTCCTCCTCCTCCTCCTCCTCCTCCTCGTCCTCGTCCTCTTCCTCCACATCACCGTCACTACTTCTCTTCGCCGCCTTCCCCATTTCGATCATCGGCTGCCCGCCCCCGGCAGCAGCCAAAGTATTGCTGTGAGGGGGCCCAAAACAGTACGTGAACGGTCGGGACTTTTTGCCTAGCGCGTCGCGGCGGCGGCCCTGGCTTACCCGCTGCCCTGCGAGCGGGTAGCGCGTCGCTCTGACCGGCGGCACGACACGCTGAGCCAACGTTCTCGGCCGCACAGTGTAGACCCGTGCCAATACATGGTCCTATTAGGAGGAAGGCGAAGCCTTTCGGACAATGGGTGATCTAGAGACGCAGATGCTTCGCTCATCAAGGACACAAACAGCATTGCCTCTGCCGACTGTGCTTGCAGTGGTCCGCAGGCGGCCTTGCCTGGCTTCGTCGGCGCCTACTGTGCCGCGGGTCAAGGCTCGGGGGGTCACGTCCCCGCGGGGCCGAGTGCCTGCCTTCCCGCGGCAGGGCACCGTGCAGGGCGCGTTGTGTCGCCAGGCGCCGCATAGGGCGCAACGCTTCGCACTTGCCTGCGCCGAGACGCGCGCGTACGTGTGGCGAGGGGTTCATACCTGGCTTGCGCTCGGCCGCTCCAACCTCAGCTTCCGCTTCCCGAGGCAAAAGCTGGCACGGAAGATACGGGGGGGACTCACCGGGTCGTCTCCTGGAGGCTCCTTCCCTGGTGGGCTGGGGGTACATTCGCCCACTTGATGCTAGGGTAAAGCGTCGACCCGCGTCGCGATATCACACTGCTGGCCTCCAGGGTGCCCTGGGTTTCTTGGGCTTCCATGGTTTCGCTATGGAACGCGTGACGTCCCCATACAAAAAAAATGAATGGACGTCATGGGTTCTCAGGGTTGAGTTTCTTGTGAAAGCTTTCTTGTGGACTGACCTCCACTGTATCTCACACTGGCCCAACCAGCGGCCGATCTGTGGCCCTCGTGCCCAGCGTTTCCGTAGCGCCCCGCTGTGCGCCAAGAGCGTCGTGCCTGCCCGGCTCGGGGCGGCCTCGCTCGGCTCTGCGCGCCCGCGTCAGCTGAGAATTTGGCGTTGCTTGCTTCTCGTCTTTGTCCTCGCATCATCTCCGCCTCTTCGTCCCCCCACCCCCTACACGGCAGGGCCTGCGCGTTAGCAGGCCGCTCGTTGTTTCCTAAGAATGGGTCAGGGGTAGTAGGCCCGACCGAAAAGCCACATTGCGCCCAGGATGACGGAATTAAGCGGGGCTGAACTTATTTGACCTCAATGCCCGCGCTGATGCTGAACTTGACCTCCCAGGAGCTGCATCCTAATGTAGGGAGCCTCGGGGAGGCCTTTTGCAGCCATGGATTGGAGCTGGCTTGGAGCCCACTTTGCGGGCCACCGAGAGCCATGTGGGCCACGAGGTCACGGCCACGAGTCTTTGCCTGGCGAGTCGCGGCGGCGGCCCCTGCGACACGCTACACGTTTCAAACTGGTGATGTGTCACTGTGCCTCGTGGGGCGGGAGCCCGGGGAACACTTGGAAAGGCGCTGCCTGGGGACTGGCCGGTGCTGAGCGTGCAGCCCCGAAGCGTGAGGCGAGAACCGGCGGCGCGATACGGTACGCAAACGTTGCTGCTCGCAGCCCCCTCCGCCTCTTCCTCCTCCTCCTCCGCCTCATCCTCCGCCTCTTCCTCCTCCTCCTCCTCCTCCTCCTCCTCCTCACCGAAGCCCGCTACCCTTCGGCGTCTGCTGGTGGCGGCCGGCTGGTGTCTAAATTGAGGAGCCTAACTCTATACACCGATACTGTTTCCGGCCCCGCACTGAAATTCGCCCAGGAATGCGGATCCTGGTGTATACGGGATCATGGTGTATACACCCTTCGCTGCTTCTCTGGGAGAACGGTGGACGACAGGATGCACCACACCACCCCGACGTAGTCCCCGATCCTGAGAGAAGCTCTGGCATTGCAAAACAGCCCGCCACTGGTAATGTATTAGAGGCCTCCTAGATGGGGTCGGAGTAGATCGGGTCGGAGGATCGCGCCGCATCGGCGATGCATCGGGGATGCACCGGCGACCGCCGACGTCGGCGATGCATCGGCGACCTCGACGTGAAGCAAATCGGGCTCCACATCGAGCCGCCTCGCCAATGCATCGGCGATGCGGCTCGATCCTCCGACCCCATCTACTCCGACCGCATCCAGGAGGCCTAGATGTACATGCTCCAGTTTCCGACGAATGAGACAGCCGGGCCACCCCTCTGTGCTGCGCTGCGCAGCACCATCGCACGGCGTCCCCAGTCCGAAGCCACAACGCCGCGCGCGCCGCGGGCCCGCGCTCGCAGCGCCGAGACACGGGAGGGAGGCCGAGGACCATCTTTTTATGTCTAGAAGCGAGGCGAAACGCGCAGATCCGCTGGAACTGGACCCTTGAAGGTCGGCGCGGGGGGGCCTGGGCCCCAGAAGCAAGGTGGAACACTGCACACATCTGAACACCCCAAATTCTATATTCTGAAGGTTGGCCTGCCGCTCGCTGGTGGAAAAAATGGAAGTTGGGAATTCCGTCGAAGTGGAAGTGGCCAGGGTCGGAAAACCCATCAAGGGCTGCGACATGCACGAAGAAATTGGGATGAGGTCCCCAGGGCTGGAAACATTGAAGAAAAACTGGCCAGGCGTGCAGAAAGTGGAAGGGCTGGCCCCGGCCACATGTCCAGCCCCCCTGTAGAGGGGAGAGGGAGCGAGGGAGGGAGAGGCTTCGCCCTCAGTCCTCCTCCCTCTCCTGCGCCGGGCTGGGCGTGGCCCCTCTGCCCCTCCTCCTCTTCCTCCCTCCTGTCCTCCTCCTCCTCCTCCTCCTCCTCCTCCTCCTCCTCTTCATCCTCCTCCTCCACCTCCTCCTCTTCCTCCTCCTCCTCCTCCACCTCCTCCTCCTTCTCCCTCGGGCTCGGGCTGGTGGCATCAGAGTCCTCCAGGGGGTGGACGCAGCCATCCCTCTTCCTCCTGCTCCCCCTCCTCCTCCTCCTCCTCCTCCTCCTCCTCCTCCTCCTCCTGCTGCTCCTCCTCCCACTCCTCCTCCTCCTCCTCCCCTCCTCCTCCTCCTCCTTCGCCTCCTCCTCTTCCTCCCCCTCCTCTTCCTCCTCCTCCTCCTGCTTCTCCTCCTCCTCCCCGTCCTCCTCCGCCTCCTCCTCCTGGCCCTTCTCCGCCCTGCTCCCCTTACCGTCCTCCTCGTCTTCCTCGTCCCCCTCCTCCTCCTCCTTCTCCTCCTCCTCCTCCTCCTCATCATCATCATCATCATCATCATCATCATCATCATCACATCATCATCATCATCATCAGCATCATCAGCATCCTCGTCCTCGTCCTCATCCTCATCCTCATCCTCCTCCTCCTCCTCCTCCTCCTCATTCTCATCCATCCTCCATCCTCATCCTCCCCTCTCGTTCTCCTCCCCTCCCCCGCTTCTGAGCTTCTCCTCCTCCTCCTCCTCCTCGTCATCATCATCATCATCATCATCATCATCATCATCATCATCATCATCATCATCATCATCATCATCATCATCATCATCATCATCATCATCCTCGTCCGTCTTGCCCTCCTCCTGTCCCTGAGAGGGGGCGTTGCAACAAAAGCTGCAACACCGCGAAACAAATCGACCGGAGCCGAAGCCTGGACCCCAACCCTCTGCGGCATCTGTCGAGCCACATCGATCCTTGCCATCGCTCGGACGTCAATTCCCTGTGCGTTTTTCGGCTACTTGCGTTTCTTTTGATGTTGCGAGATTCGCCAAGAGGCTCCTCGACGGTCCTCGCCGAGAAAAACCTGCACGCACACGTCCGAGCGGTGCTAAGGATCTGTGAGGGCCCCGGGGGCCCGAAGCAGGGCGAACACGCCTGGTGTGCAGCTGCAGGGTTCTCGCCCCCGCCCTTCTCCCGCTGCCCCTCCCGCTCCGCCGCCCCGAACGTCATGCAGGAGGGCCCCTACGAGGCGACGGAGCGCCCGCCTGTCGGGCCGCCCTCCCCCCCCCACGCGCGCGCCTCGCGGTGCTCCTGCTCCGCCACACCAGGCACCGCACGCTCGTGCTCCTCCTTCTCCTCCTCGCCCGTGCCCCCCTCCACCCCTGCTCCCCTCCCCGCCCTCCTCATCCTCCTCGTCCCGCGCTTCCTCCTCCTCTTCCTCCTCCTCCTTCTCCTCCGCCTCCTCCTCCTCCTCCTCCGCCGCCGGCGCCGCCTCCCCCTCCCCTCCCCACACCCCGCGCGCGCGCCCCGCGGCACTCCTTCTGCCGCCACACCAGGCACCGCACGCAGTACGTCCCGTCTGGCAGGCCTCGGGGCGCGAGGGCGCGTGCGCCCGCGCTCGGCTCGGCGCGCGGCGCGCAGCTCCGGGCGCCGCCTGCCATTGGGAGGAAGACTCCCGGCAGCTCTTCGCACGGTCGGACCTAGGCCAGAAAAACATCCCCCCAAGAACCCAGACCCCCTCGGGCAATGACAAGAAAATGACGGGAAGTTTTTCCATATGTTCGGCCTCTGGGGGCCCTTACCGGGCCTCGGGACCGTCAAACAACGACTCAGGATGAGAGAAACCGAAGCCTCTCCACTCAAGTTTCACCATTGATACTGAAGTTCATCTGACATCCGCACCAGCATGTTTGTACCCCATGGATGATTATATTGTTGCTTCTTCTGTTGTGGACTGGGGTCCCAAGTCCCCAGCACGTTCGAAAGACGACATCGATGGAGGTGGAGGCGAGGGTGTCCGACTCTTCACCCGAGTCGGACGCGGCCAGCTTCATCGAAGTGCCTGAGCAATCACTGGTCGAAGCGATTGAGGTGGATTATCCAGAAGAATATTTTCAGCGTGGTAACTGCAGCATCAGACGCCACATACGCCAGTTCTTTCTCACAGGACGAACAACATTTCGGAGCTGGCACATTACTACCGAGGAGCAGCTGGCCCACTACTACGACGAGCAGGTCATCTCTGATGTCTGGCGGAAGTTGTTCCAATGGCGACAGTACTGGCGCTCCCGTGCTCAGGCTACCCCTCCAAATATATCATACGTCCAGCACATTGCCCAGCATAATTTGTCTTTTGTGCTCTGAGGGCGGTAGGGGGGAAGGGTTTTGAGTGCACCACTAAAGGGTCGCCCTCTCCCACCGAGGCAGGCCGCGAGCCGCTCGGGGGACGAGGGCGCCGGCCACGCGGCATCGTGAGTGCTGCTGCAGAGCCTCTCGGCCAGAGCGTCAACTCATTGATTTAACCATGATGAAACCAAACTTTTTCGGCCACAGCTTTCAACAGGCGTCCAGATGCTTGCCACGAGGTGTGAAGGCGCCCCGTGATAGTTCAGACAGCTTTTGTGCCGCTGGCGATGCGATGCGATGAGAGAAACCGGTCCCAGGGAATGGGTCGAGACTTCAGGGGGCCCCGTATGGAAAAATCACGACATTGGATCTCTGGGAACATGAGACCTCCGCCCTCCAAAACACACTGAACATCCCTCCCCAGGGCGCACGAGGACATCCGACGAGCACGAAGAGCACTGGGGCATTCTCCCCCACCCG